ATATGTAATAATGAATGAAATATTCATTTCCGAACATTGTTAAAGAGAATCTGATACAAAGATCAAGGGGGAGTAACTTCAGTGTTGGCAAAAGACTCAAAAGAAGAAGTGCGACTGAAGATCATTACAGAAAGATTATTTGTGTGCTACAACGACTGAGAGATGTTGAATGTGAAGATCATTTTTCACAATAGTTTACTGAAGACTTGTTATCTGAAGATTATTTGAAGATCACATCTTGTACAGTGTTTCTAAAGATTATTTTTGATCTACATTGTTAAAAGTGAAGATCACCGTGATTCTATATTCGAGGGGGAGAATGCTAGAAGATCTTTCTCAACAGTTGATTGCTTGAAGATTTCAAGTTGAAGACTTCTTTTGAAGAAGACATATTGTGCATATTGTTTCAAAGTTCAAACAAGGACTCAAAGTACAGAATGTTCTTTCAAGTCTGAATACAAAGGGGGAGAATGTTAGGACTGAAAAATCAATATTGATTGTATTCGTCTTGAAAGTTTATAAATAGTCTATAATTGTAAAAGTCAGCGTGTTTGACTTTTCTTATAGAAGTTTGACTTTGACTTTGTTTAGTTAGTTTGACCATATAAATAGTAATAGTCTTTGTAATTAGAAAAGGAGAGCATTATTGTAATAATACGTACATAAATGAGAGTTTGACCAGAATTGAGAGTTTGACTTTCTCTCTCATTGTTCTTAATGTGTTCTTGAAGATTTATATTCTAAATCTGCCATGGTTATGAAGATATGAAGATTGATCAGTGAATTTGGACTCAACAATATATATATATTTATATATATATATTTTAAAAAACCCAAAAACATATTAATTCAAAACATATTATACAGTGCAATTTGGACAACCAAACCCCAAAATATATAGTATATATATAAATAAATAACTATAAAAGTATACATCGTAAATATTAAAAATATTTTTTCACAGTATATATAATATATAATAATATAATTAAGTCATAAACTATTCAATATTAGACTCATTTCGAAGGTATTAACGAGACGATTATAATGGTGTAATTTGTTAATATAAAAATGTATTTTTTAAACATGTTTTAATTGATATACGATTATGTATGTTAATTTGATAAATGTTTAAAATGAAACATTTAAAAGTAATGAACGTAAAGTAAATTAATTAATTAATTATAAGGGTATAAAATATAAATTTAAAATTATAATTTTAAAAAAATTGGTTGTGAGAGGATGAGTGTATGTGAGAAGAGATGAGAGTGAAAAAGTGAAAAAGTAAGCATAAAGGGTATTTTGGTCATTTAGAATTTTAAGACTTTAAGACTTTTGCTAAATTTGCTTAATAAGATAGTATAGATATACAATAAACAATATACACCAAAACCATTAAAACCATTTACCTATTGTCCTAAATCTGAGTATTAACTCAAACTACTGATCAATATTTGATCTATCTATATTCAAAGCAAAATTATAATGAACATATACTTGGCACAACAATAAATACATAACTGTTTGTCTAAGTCAAAGTATTTGAGAGATCTGCGGAGTTTTTCTTGAAAAGAAAGAACCATGCCTTGGCTAATTACTTCATTTAGCCTATAACAAAAGGAAAAACCAAAAATGTTACTCAACAAGTGTGGTATAAAGTATGATAACACACATCAAGAACAATCTCTACATAAATGGGACAGTGGTTTGACTTATTTTTTGTTGCAAATTGTAGAAGTGAGAAAAGAGAAAAGTGACAGATTATGAACAACATAGTCTTTGACTATTTTTGTTCAAAGCCACCCAATTTTGCCTTATATTTTGATGGGTTTTTTTTACAAGAAATGAGATTAATGACTCATCAAAAGTTGGATCATCAATATTTCTCACTGAAGGAATAGTAGATAGCTAGAAACTGATCATGCAAATATTTATTTACATCTGTAAATCATACTACATTTTCAAGATAGAAAACAAACCCTCATTCAATTTATAACAGAATAGTGTGTGTGTAAGTGTACACTATAAAGTGAGTCAAGGAAGACTGAATGGGTGTGAAGGAGACAAAATTGACACTCAAAAACCAATTAGGATACATAATTATATCCACTATATACAAATATACAAAATACACACACATAACACATATTGGGAAAACTAATTGACAAATTACACAATGGATGAGTAAAAAAACTAAAATCAGAAAATAGAAACAGTGGGAAATTGTGTAAGACAGTAAAACAGATGGCTTCAATGAAGTGGATATACAATCGTGTAAAGATGCATATACAATAACCGAAAAATACTAAAACCTATTGCTTTGCTTTACATCAAATTCACCAGTAAAACATTAAACCAAAAACTGAAGTGGTTTGGGCTTTGTGACTAAACTATGTAAGACAGTAAAACCATGGCTTCAATGAAGTGGATATACAACCGTGTATAGCTACATATGCAATAACCGAACAATACTAAAACCTATTGCTTTGTTTTACATCAAATTCACCATTATAACGTAAAACAAACCAATAAAACAGTAAACAAAACAATAAGTGGTTTGGGCTTTATGACTAAACTATGTAAAACAACAAAACCATGGCCTCAATGCAGTATAACAGACCTGTACCAGCCACATTTACATCTTCTGCCCTTTCCACATTTACATCGAGTATTCAAAGGAAAAGTCAAGAAAACAAAGAATTATGCAAGCAAACCTTAAATCAAGAGAGAAATCTAGATTTGGTTGGAAGGAATTTGTGTGTCCCACTTTAATGATCAATCTTCAATAACATTCATAAATCAAAGGCAATCTTCATATGAACATCAAGAACACTTTGAATGTCTAGAGAGGAAAAGTTAAATAGTCAACTCAAGTATATTCCTCTCAAATGTACGTAATGTTTACAATTAAGCTCTCTACAATTCTCTCTCTAGACAAATCCCTTACAAGACCCTATTTATAGGTCAAACTTTGAAAGCACAAGTCAAAGTCAAACATGACTTACAAAGTCAAACCTTCTAAAAATACAATATTAAAACCTTTCAAGACAAATACAATTTAACTCTAAAATTCAATCCCAACAGAATTGATGGTAGGTTGGAGCTATACCTTAAATCAGTGATTTAATCACTAACCAAGAGTTTCACCTTTAATAGAGTAAAATCTTGAGAAGCGATGGAGATTTTTTTAATTCATTGCATCACACATACTAATATTTAATCAACAATCTGGGTCATGGCGATATTCATCACCAGTATTATGAAACTCATTAACATCATTATCTGAATCTATATCATCGTTGATTCCAAGCACATCGTTCTCGTCCTCTTCCACGTCATCACTGTGGTACTCATCATCCTCGTCCTCTTCCTCGTTGTAATATTCATCATTCTCATCATCATTATTTGGTATATCAATACGTGATGTAGGACCAATGTCGATAAAAATCTCACTTATGGGAATGGTGGTAGTCACGGGCTCTTGGTACAGTTCCTCTACCTCATAATGTGGACCGATATTGTGTTTCGTGCAAGTGTAATTGCCTTGTATGTACCTCTATGAAATATGTGATGAACAACTTTCCAACCGTCACCAAACATTGCATCATCGATGTTGAATACTTGTTTTGCGTGTAAGGTGAGACAAAATTGACTGTCTTTATAGCAATCGGTCTTTGTATCAATTGAAATTAGACCATGATCTAACATTGTATTTTCATCGTCATACCACCTACACCTAAACCACACGACCGAGCACACAACATCTGAAAGAATTTAGATAAGCCACAAATTGCATCAGCGACATGATTGTCCACGTATGGTTGTATAACCACAAGAAGAATGTGCTGAAGTAATATGTGACAGTCGTGAGTCTTCAAACCATAAAACTTCTTGTAATTTATGTTTACCCAACATAACCATTTAAACATGCGTGTACAAGCTCATACCTCATCCCAACGCCTTTAAGGATCTTTTTCGCCTTTGCATATGATCTAGGAAGCTTGTTTGGAGTGGAAAATAAAGATTTCTAAAACTCCAAAGTCTTAAAAAATTCCTTGATAGAAATTCCGGTTTCTTCTTTTAGAGAAATTGCTCTTAAAAGGGCACCCAAGGAAGGTTTTGTACAACCCTCGTACAATGGAGTATTCGTTTCCGCTAGCAGCTGCGAATAGGCATCAATGACTTTGGAAGCAACAATGTCCATATCACAAATTGGAGTACCCTCATGGGTGATTGATTCGTCATCATTGTACCGCTCATGGAACAGAAATGCATGTTGGTCCCAGTCGGATCTACAAGAGTTTTAGACGAACAAATTGTAGAAGGGTGGGGGGGGGGGGATGAATACAAACACATAAAACTTTCGTATTAAAATATATATTGATAGAGAAAGATCAATACAAATTTTTTGCAGATTGTTTGCGGAAATAGAAAAGGTAAAGATAAACTATCTAAAACAATCTAAGTTTACACACACATATACTTAGCAAAATAGAAAAAGATTTTCCGAAAAGATAAAGACAGGAGGATGTTTTTCTTGGGTAAGAACTTTAGAATTCTTGAGAGGGATTATAACTTGCTTGAAGATAAACGTTTGTGTTATTTAGATAGAAGTGTAATCTATGTGTATGCGTGTTTTGCATGGAGATAACACTCAACTATTTATACCCATTGCATTAAATGCAAATCAGAAGGGTTGGAAAATATATCAATCTTTAAGAGGAAAGCTTGCCCTTTACTACAGTAAATAGTAAAATTGCTATTCATGATCAGACATCCTTTCGTGGAGTTGGTGGGCATTAGAGTCGAATAGTCGGCTCCATGCTATACTGTACTCTAGAAAGGGTATGGGTTTGTCCTTTGTGTGTTGAAGGACAAAACAAAAACAATCTTGCACAACAAGCTTCATTTGATCGCTGAATGCTGGAATAACGCTGAAGGTCTCTTCAGCATTCACTGAGGCTTAAACAGTCTTCAAACATATGTTGACCACGTTGTAATCACTGAATACCACTTCAGATCACGAACGCGCCAGTCACTAGTCTTTAGTTTCTATCTTCGACATTCACTGAAGGTTCTTTGGTGTGAGTTTTGTCTTCTTGAAGTATCACTGTCGTTGTAGGATTTACAATACATGTTTCAGCGATCATTGAACAGACTCAGTGAAGATCACTGGAACTGAAATAACAGAAACATAATACTTCAAAAGGTAAAAGGGATTATCATCAAATCAATGAGAGAGAAGATCAACAATCTCCCCATATTTGATGATGACAAAGCAATATAATTTTTTTTTTCTTAATGATTAATAGTAAGGAAAAGTTACATATAAAGTACATGTCCCTTTTAACTATTTTGGGATCTTTTTCAGTGAATCAGTTTTTACTTTATAAGTTTTCTTAAGTTACAAGGTTAAGAAAAAGTATAAGAAGGGAAACTGAAACTGAAAGCATGTTCACTGACTAGAGATTGTCAGTGACTGTAAGAGTATACTAGAACTCATGGACATGTGTCCCTATTACTCTTTTCAAGGATCTTTTTCAGTGATGCTGATGAAATACTGATATTAATTCAAAGGAAAATTAGAAGTGTTTCAGTCAGTACATTTCTAGACTTATTACATATAAGTTGTACACTGAAAGAAGAGACATAGATACAAAAGACATACAATGAAAAATAAAATTACAAGACAAAATTTCATAACTATTCTAGGTCGCTGAAGTTGATGTAGCCAGGTACTTCTCCAAGGATCTTTCGATGTAGAAATTCTCTTCTGATCTTGCGGTTTATCATTTCACCATATAAGTCATTGTCTAACCAATATCTTAGATAATCTAAGTGTTTTATGGAACAACTATTAAACTCAGACGCTCTCTAGAAGTTGTGTTCACCTTCATAGTCAAGAAAAATAAATACTAACTCAGGCTTTAGGTGCACAGTGTTGGGCATGTAAGGACCCTTTGTTGGCAAAGAGAGGTTCAACATTGAGATGTCTGGCTTCTTCGAATCCTTCAGGACTTTGTCTAAGGAGAATTTTGTTTCATGTTCATTCCTCAGAGTTGGTCAGTCATTAGGACTTGAAGGTCTTCTTCTTCCACCTTTCTTTAGTAATGGTTTTGTAGGAACAACGACGAATGTTGACATCTTCTTGATCAGCTCGCTGATGATGTCTTCAATTATCGGCTTGTGCCTTGACTTTGAGCGCTGAATGGCTTACAGAATCTCCAGCCATTTATTGTTGTCGTACTGACCTAGGTAGGAAGGATACTCGGTGACAGCTTCAAGGTTGTCTCTGGTGATGAGCATTCAGACGAGAAGTCCACCATCTTTTATCCGTCCACTGATCATGACATTTGAAATACGTTGAGGACTTATCTTCTTATTCAGACAATCTTCGCTCCACTTTCTGTTTTGGTCGACCAGCTTCATCGTCTTTTCATGTTCATATTCTGCAATGGAAAACAACTTAACCTGGGCCTTGACAGTATTCAGCATCTTTTTAGACTTTTTCTTTGGAAGAACTTGAGCAGCAAGACACATGGCTAGCTTTATGCTGTCCTCAGTCTATTTTCGTGAAGATTGAGTTCTTCTTCAACCTTGAGTGCCTTGAGTTTTTCAGCTTCAGATAGGAAGTCAAACTCACCACAACTAGAGGTACGAAGAGGGATTTTTTACTCTAGTTTGGTCGAGTGAATCCTTAAGTTGAGACATCTGCTGGTCGGTAGGAACACTGGAGGTTGGGTTTTCAGATACCCTTTCCTCTAGCCGACCATAGGTAGTAGAGGGGATAGAGGATAGTTGACAAAAAGAGGTAATGATAGCAAACCTGGAAGATTTTGTACTTAGAGGCACAACAAGTTTGAAGAGTGCCTTGAGATTTTCCTTCTTCAGCAACACCTTTGTCTTTTGATTTGGTGTTCTGGTCCTTCTCAGAAGTCTTCTTCTCTTTTTCTTTCTTTTTCTCCCCTTGGGATGTAGAATCCCTAAGAGAGACTCCTTTCACAATGCTGGCAGGTTTTTGGTACTGAATAGTGAATTCGTCATCATCGTCGTCTTCATCATCATCACCACCGAGATCCTTCCTAGTGTCAGGAAGGGTAGGAGAATCATCGTCATCGTCTTCATCATCATCCTCCTTATCACCATCATCAGCTGAAGGGGTGATAGGAAGGTCTTTGTCACAAGCTTCAACATCAGCTCTGACGTCTTTATCAATGACCTCAGCTTCAAGAGCTTCATGGGAGGTGATGGTTTCATCAACAACCTCAACTTCAATAGCTTTGGCTCTAGGAACGTCAGCTTCAGTTTTAGTTATGGGTACGGCAGCAACAACAACATCTATCTCCCCCTTCTTTGTCATCAGCATGAGAGGAGAAGATGTGATCAAGACTACATGCTAAAATGTTTACCTGTTATTCAAGCTCGGTCATCATTTTAGTTTAAAGAAGACAAACTTCAAGATTCTAGTCCAGCTAGAGGCGATCCATCTTCGTAAAGGAGGGCTCTGGAGCTGGTACTAGACGTTGGAGGATCTCCAGTATCTGATGCATCAACTCACCGTGCCTGGTAAGCTGAGCTTTTGCTTCATCAGCCTTGCTGGTTAGAGCAGAGATGGCCTTAGCGTTGGTGCATACGGCTGCTTGAACTATAGAAAACTGTTATTTGACCTCTTGAACTTCAGCTTTGATAGCTGAGAGGTCAATAGAAACTTCATCCATGAGAGGCATGCCTTTATGGACTTCGTCCATTTTTACAAAGACAGTCTCTACAGCGGAGAGTAACAGCTTAACATTATCAGCCATGTTATATTCTTCTTCCATGGCTGGCATTCCTTCGTTGCAAGGACCTGAAAAGGAAATTTTTTTAGCATAAGATAGCTCAGGGTTAGAAGAAATGAAGGGGTAGGGTGGAGGATTATCTGAGCATTCATCAACACCATCTGAAGGATTGATGATGGTTCTCTCCAGTTTACCTTCGAGAGGATAGGCGTCCATAAATTGAGGTGTTTCGAGTTGAGCAACCTCAGGTCCTGTAGTGGGTGCTTCGTCATCAGGAAGGACAATCGCTTATGTTAGCATCAAATTGATGCTAATAATTATCTTAAAAAGTTTTATTAAGCAATCGGGGCTAAGGATGGATCATCTAAAGATGCTTTTGTGCCAAAACGTCTAAGTCTGGAAGAAGACCAACCGCTGTGCTAAATCGACCAAGTATGGACGACCAGAGCCTCTACAAGCAGAACCAGAGCCTCTGTGAAGTGGACCAGAGCCTCTGTAAAGAGTCACCAGATCCAGAGTCTCTGTGAAGTGACACCAGAGCCTCTGGAGAACCAGAGCTTCTGGTTGTATTGACCAGAGCCTCTGGTGGACCAGAGCCTCTGTGGTCTGTCTATCCTCTGGTTTATCATCTGGTCCTTCAAGACGACTATCTTCAGAGAATCCTATTCTGGATAAGGCTAATCCTATTTTGGATAAGGCTAATCCTATTCAGATTATCATGAATTACTGGCTATATATAGTAGTGTTTCAGGTATAGAAAAGGAACAAGAGAAAATAGAGAATGTATTGTAAAACACATAGATTCAGATACATCGAATGGGAGTCGATTAGGGTTCTTGAGAGTTTGTAATTTTCCATTCAATAAAGAAAGCGCCGTCGATTTCTATTTCATCTTCTTCTTCTACAAATCTCTCTTGAATTTCTTTATTAAAATTTTCTATTGTCAGATCTGGGCTATAACAAGTGGTATCAGAGCCAAATCGATTAACTTCTATTGATACGATCTTTCTGACAGTAGATTCAATTTTCTTGAAAAATACTCTCATGAACTGCTTCTTGTTCGACTGCAGTTTGGTCCCAAAAACTCTGATTTCATCATATGCTTAAATGTCTATAGAGTTTCTTGGAGTCAGTAGATTTATTGAACCCTGATTTTGTCAAATCTGCGCGTAGGCGTTTAGTAAGAATTCATGGTTCTCACAGCCTAAGGCAATTGGCGTTATATTTGCCAAACATATATTTATCGCCAATATCTTGAGTATTCTTTCATCTTCTCTGTTTATGGATTTGAATCTATAAAAGCTTAAAGTTTTTCTTGCCTGTTATCACCATTCCTACATGTTTATGGCAATTTCCTTTCTGTTTGCCCTTAGAAGCATTAACAGCAATTCTGTCAATTTTCTTTGAATTGACCTGCTGTTTCTTGAAGTCATAAAGCTTAAATGTTAAATCTTCTCTCCGGTTCTTAATTCCAATGGTGTTTGCTTCGGTTATTCAAGTTATCTCCAATTGAATCAAGCTCTAAAGCTGAATTCCTACTCAACTTGCGGTTCAATGAAAGTTTCTTTGTCATAAGACTGTTTGCACTGTTTTTGTCACACCCCGCTAAAGCGGAAACACGGAATGATAACAGACAAGCGAGTCTTGGCAATAGTTACAGAAAAACACTTTTTTTAACGATTCAAAATACACAAATCATCGACTTGATAAAGTTTCAAGGTTACAAAAGTATTTTTAAATACAATAAAAACTGTCTTAATCGATGTGATCCAAGTAATGCTCCCAGAGTCCACATAACTTACTTAGTACCTGAAAAGCATGACATAAAACAGAGTCAACTACAAAGAGTTGGTGAGTTTCACAGGTTTTCACATGCATAAAGACAGTAGATGCATAAACCAAGTAATAGCAAGTATATGTGGTTTCATTGCACTCAATAAATGTAAATCTTAAACGATGAAATACTTGAGATGCTACTGAACCTTACCTGACCAACTTGCCCCATAATTATTCGAACAACCAGAAGTAGCCCGTTCACTACTTAGGTTCCACGGTTCGATAAAGCACTAACTCAGCGGTGGTCCAAATTCCACATGATTAGGCTAGAAAACATAGGTAATTGTGCACCCCTTTCTGGGTGGGACTGTCAACACAATAGCGGCTATCCACAATACCACGGCCCGAGAATGTACCCGAGTTAACAAGTAGCGTGTACGAACGGGGACTTTTATTTGGAAACATATATTCTCAAGCACATCAATTTAGCATTTATATTATAGTGCAAAATAGTAACAATTATAGCTTAGAAACCTGACTATGCAGTTCCATAGTCCGGAGGTTTCAAATAAATAACATGCAAAGCTTGCTCGTCATGCTTTTCCCCCATAAAATAACAAAAACAGTAAAAGTGGGGCCGTGAACTCACAGTTTGGCGAATATCAATTGTTTCCTTACCAAAACAGTAACAAATACAGCTTAGAAACCCGACTATGCAGTTCCATAGTCCGGAGGTTTCAAATAAATAACATGCAAAGCTTGCTCGTCATGCTTTTCCCCTATAAAATAACAAAAACAGTAAAAGTGGGGCCGTGAACTCACAGTTTGGCGAATATCAATTGTTTCCTTACGAGACTTGCTATCACCTGCTTGGACTTCCTGACAGAACGACCAATACTTAATAAGAGCTTCTAAACCTCCAAAACTTAAGTTGGGTAAAAATTACTTTCAATGCAATCCGCCAGATACTAAAACCAATGTAGGGGATACTTTAAATATTAGCCTTAACGAATATCTCCAAGATTCATATAATGGCATCATTTAATGCCCTTCCAAAGCAAATGATTGCAGCCGCCATCTGTTGGAATTTGAAGATTTTGGGTGGGTTTAACACCCTTCCCAAGAACAATTAAAACCTCGAGTCGCACACCTCCCCAAATCCGGTTGCATGCCCAAGAATGGCAGCAAATGGGGATGGTTTCGACTCTACATTTCCAGGAATAGAGACAGATAATACCCCAAATTCTCATTTCTTGAGTAAGATCCAGAAAGGAAAAGAAACAATTTGGAATTTTTGTGTCTCGGAAAGCTACAAGATGAAAGATTTGATTTAGAGATGCATGCAAGACCCAAATCACCCGAAGGTGCAATCGTTTCCTAGAATGTAAGAACTCTCTCTCCCTCTCTTTTTGGGATTAAAAAGGTTTCTGGATCACAAATTATCATCTGATGAAGACATATGCATGTCTTCGATGGATAATCTCACCATCTTTAAATTCCGAARCTTGAGTTGAGYAGGAAGAGAAAATAGGAATTTGAACACTTTAAAGAGGTATAGATGACTTTAGGGGCTTACCTTTTTGAAGACGAGGCAGAAAAGAATAATTCAAACACAGCAGCGATCCTAAATTTGCAGGGAGAAGAGTTCGGCTCGAAGGTGATGAACTTTTTAGAGAGGGAGAACGAGAAAAGGCTAGAGCTTTTTAAATAACGAAGAGTTTCAAAAAGAGAAGGAGGGGTATTTATATGAGGCTTCTAGAAGAGTAGTGGGCTGGCCTCTAAAGGCCCAAGGACTTATACATTTCCTTAATTTAAGACCCAAAAATCTAAAATAACCAAAATGTCCAAGTCTGGAACAAGACYAGCTGCCGTACTGAAATGATCAAGTATGGGCAACCAGCGCCTCAGAAAGAAGACAACAGAGCCTCTGCGAAGAAAAGACGCCAG